TAAAGTTAAATAATAAAGTCAGAGACTTCATAAACAAGAGAGAATTAAGACTGGGTAGGATTTTTTGAGGATAGAAAGAATCAGGAAAAGTTCTAGGTGTGCACTTGACACTGGGCCAGCGGTGGAGGAAGATGGAAGAAAGGTCTTGAGGCTGGACAGGCTGCCTCTCGTTAGCGGTGACTTTGGGCAAGTTACCCCACCCTTCCCTGCCCTGCTTTCCTCATCTGCAAATTGAAATGAACAGAGTACCTACCACACCAGGTCATTGCATTTAGTTGAATTGCATATAAAACTCTTATGATTGTGCCCTCACTTACATCACCCATTGAATCATTTTGAGATAGGATCATTATAAATAGATGATGCAAGAGATGTGAAGACATTTTCTCAAAGTCGTACAGCCAGCAAGGCACAGAGCTGGGATTCCAAGCCAGCTGTGTGAGCCAAGAGTGTGCTTCCAAAGGCTGTGCTTATGATGATAACATGAACTCACTTATGTGTGCCCTGGATACCAAGGAGTAGAGACAAAGATATCAAACAGGGGCTCAGCACAGGCTCCCTCCAAGAGCTAGGGAATAAGCAGTGTTCACTTTGCCATGGGTCCGACGTTGGCTCTTTCAAAAATATATTTTCCTATTTCCAGGGGCATTTGCATTTTATATTTCAAATTCTTTGGAACCACTGTTGATTGTTCCACATTCAAAACAGGATGGGGAATAGAGAAGAGAGCCACAATCATTATTTCAGGGCTTAGATATTTCCCCTTTTATTTGCAAAGTAGCCAGCATTCATTTCACAGTGACAGCCTCCTAGGCAGGAGGTCACCACTGCCTTCACTTTCCAAGAGCAGCAAATGAAAATGTAAGATGACTAGCTCTTGAGAAACTCACAACAGCCCTCAGGAGCTCCTTCATCTCCCTTCCAAAAAAGTTCTTCCATCTTCCTTCTTCTCTTTCTTCCTCCCTGCCTCTGCCTTACTTTTCTCATGTTTATATGTTAACCTGTTTCTTATCTGTTCCCCTACTTTTTTGCATGTTCCAGGCAGATGCTACTCACATACCCATTGTACAGATGAAAAAACTGAAGCTTGAGGTTTATGAACAGCCAATGAATGACAGCACTAGGATCTCAACCTTCCATTTTGGTTAATTCTATTAATGTTTATTAACATTAACATTAACATTTTGAGTTGGGAACACAAAAAATGGACCAGATAGTCTTGGCCAAGCAATGTCCAATCTAATCAGGGAGACAAAACTTAAACCCATAACAGATATAGAGGGGGGGAAACGCTGCAGTTGAGAGAGAGGCTCATAATATCTTAAGACCAAATAAGAGGGATACATGTCCAGCTTGGGGTACCGTAGGAGGATTTCTGAATGGAGGGATCAGTTGAAGCTTAAGCATGCTAATAGAGGACCTCCTTGGTGGCACAGGGGTTAAAGTCTCAGCACCATCAAGCTATCACCAGCCACAGCAGCATGAGTTTGATCCCCAGCCTGGGAGCTGACCCACATGGTGCAACAGACCTTTCCTGTCTTGCCCACTGCTCCCCTTAGCAATGTATTTCAGAAGATTTGCCTGTCCTGCTCCCCACTCTGTCTCTGGTGAATTCTCTGACCCCCCCCACCCTGCACCCCAGTTCTTGTATGCATAAATAAATAAAAATAAATCTTCTAAAAAAACAAAACAAAAAGATGCTAATAAAAGGTCATGGCAAAGGGTGTTCCAGACAGAGGAGTCCGCCTGACAAAGGCTTGAGGGAGGAACAGCCTGGTCTGTTTGAAGAAACACATATTAGTGCCTGAAGGGCTGCTCCAGTGAGGCTGGAGATGGCAGCCGATGTTGATAACAAACAGGGCTTTCTCAGGCGGGTGATCTGAGAGATGGCCCGGGAGTGTTTTGGAAGCATACTTAGGCCAAGTACCATCCTAGAGGCACTTGATCTCTTGCTCAGGGGTGTGGTGGGACTGGGTAGGGATGGGGGTGCTGAGGGTGCCCATGAAGTTGTTTTTCTGACCCCAGCTGCATGGCCACCTCCAGCTGGTAGGTTCCCAAGGGGTGCGGGGACGGTTTGGTTTCATAACCCCTCCTTCTCCCCAAAGTCCCGGGAGGCCAAGAAAAGAGGAAGCACTTCATGGACTTCCCCCTGGGCTTGGGTGTGCATGAGCTCAGGCAGTCCTGGGTTGGGGAGGGCAAGCAGGCAGAGTAAAACTGGCCAGCCCTCAAGCATTCCGTGAGATCAAAGGGCTGGCTTGGAGTACACTCCCATTCAGCAGCAGTCACAATCCTGTAGGGTACACCCAGATGCAGCACCTAGGAGAAAGTTTCCCAACTCTTTTTGCCTGCTATGTGTTTGCCTTTCACTCTGAGAATCGCATCTCGAATAAGAAGACATATCCTTATTCAACAATTTAAAACTGAGGCAATGTTCATGATTCCCACGGAGAGATCCCAAGACATACTTGTAGAATAGTACACAGAATACATTCATGTTTTAAAAATAACAAATAACATGGCTTTGTAATTACCTACATATGTAAGTAAAGGCATAGAGAAAGTTCTGGAAACTGCATAGCTGACAAAAACAGAAGTTGTCATTAGCAGTGACAAGAAGATTGGGATCAGGGAGAAAGATATGGTGACTCTACATATTCTAACTAATTTGCTTCTATCTGTGTAATTAAAATGGTAATAGTAAATGAGAAGATTGGTTCATATGATTATTGAGGGTCTTTTCCCCCAAACATTCTATTATGAAAACTTCCAAACACACAGCAAAATTGAAAGACTTTTATAATAAAAATTTCTACTCACCACCTACATTGCTTTATCAGATATCTGTCTATCTAGCCTTCCATCAAGTCATCCTTTAAAAATGTAATCAAAGTAAATTACTTCAGCACACATACTATTCACTAGAGCTCAATGCTTGGTCATGGTATTTTTAATATAAAAATTTAATGTAAAACCAAGTGCACAAGATTGTTTCTTTGCTGAATGTTTACAAATGCAGGTACATCTATGTAAATGCTATACATTTCCATCACTCCAGAAAATTCCCTCTTGTCCTATAATGCATTTTATTTTATTTTTTTTAAAGATTTTTATTTATTTATACATGCACTGGGTACAGTCAGAAGCGCGGGAGGGTGAAAGAATTCACCAGAGCCAGAGCAGGGAGCAGAGCAGGCAGAAGGACCGAAGTACACTGCTGAGGGGAGCTGCGGGCAGCAGGAGAGGTCTGCGTGCCATGTGGGACTCTCCTCCGGTGGCCGGGAAGCAGGGAGCAGCCGGGGATTGAACGGGCACTGCAGAGGCTGCGGGCAGCTTCGCAACCCAGCGCTCAACTGCTGCGCCACCGGGGAGGCCCCTATAATGTATTTTAACTGACAACTTTCTGTGAGTTAGCATTTAACACAGGTCCAGGTACATAATAAGTGCTCAATAAATGGTGGTGGTGACCCTCCCTGGTGGTGCAGGGGTTAAAATCTCAGCATTATCAAGCTGTCACCAGCTACTACGGCATGAGTTCTATCCCTGGCCAGGGAACTAACCCACATGGCTCAGCAGACCTCTGTTTCACCCGCTGCTCCCCTCAGCAACCCACCTGTTCTGCTCCCCACTCTGTCTCTAGTGAATCCTTTCACCCTCCACACCTTTGGCCTACACCGCAGTATACATAAATAAATCTTAAAAAAATAAATAAATATTGTGGAAGGAACAAATGTGTCCCTGTTCCCCTGAGGGCATGACCTTAACTTTTCCTTTTCCTTTCTTTCTTTCTTTTTTTTTAAGATTTATTTATTTATGCATACAAGAGCTGGGGTACAGGCCAGAGATGTGGGGGGTGAGAGAGACAGAGACAGAGTGGGGAACAGAACAGGCAGACTGACTGAAATGCACTGCTGAGGGGAGCAGCGGGCGAGACAGGAGAGGTCTGCTTTGCCATGTGGGTTGCTCTCTGGCTGGCCAGGATTGAACTCATGCTGCAAAGGCTGTGGATTGCCTCATAGTGTGGTGCTTTAACCCCTTGCGCTACCAGGGAGACCTTCTTTTAAAAAAAAAATATATATTTTTGGCTTGAAGAGCTGGTGGGTAGGCCAGAAGTGTGGAGGAGAGGGTGAGAGGATTCACCAGAGACAGAGTGGGGAGCAGAACAGGCAGATCTACTGAAATACACTGCTGAGGGGAGCATGGGGCAAGACAGGAGAGGTCTGCTGTGCCATATGTGGGATAGCTTCCTAGCCAGGGATTGAAACTCGAGCTGTTGCAGTGATAGTACTGAGACTTAACCCCTACGCCACAAGGGAGGCCCTTTTTCTTTTACTTTCCCCACAGGGAAATGCTTAAAAAAAACCCAAACAACTTATTGATTGTATCCACAATATATTGCTGTGTAACAAATCACCCTAAATTTATCAGCTTAAAACATTATAGTTATTATCTAATGTGATTTCTGTGGGTCAGAAGTCTGGGAGCTGCTTAGCTTAGTGGTTCTGACTTGGGGTCTCTGATAAGGGAGCAGGCAAGGTCAGCCAGGTCTGCAGGGTGGATTGGAGCTGGAGGGTCTGTTTCTGAGATGACTCACTCACTTGGCTGTTGGCAGGAGGCCCCACTTCCTTATCATGTGAACTTCTCCATAAGGCTACCTGACTGCGTTCAGGACAGAGGGGCTGGCTGCCTCCAGAGGGAACGATCCAGGGGAACAAGGCAAGCCTTCATACTGGCTACACAGCCATCCTGATTAAAGGGGATCTGTGCTGGGCCATAGTCCTAGGCAGGCGCACTGATTGGGGTCCTTTAGGAGTGGTGGTCATTATAAATATGTATTCAAATTATCCGACCACTTGCACTGTGCTTGCTTCTGTGTTGGGCTTCAGGGAGGTAAGAATGAGTCAGAACCTCCCTCTCATCCCCCCCAAGATCTTTGTGTGTGCGGGGTGGGGGTGTGGGGGTTGGGAAGGTCAAGCAGACTTGAAAACAGATGGTCTTATAGAGTACAATAAATATCACAACAGTGTTTTTTTTTTAATAATTGCTTTTCTGTAATTCATATTCATAGCACAGCATTTAAGTGATCATGAAAAGAAAGTTTCTTTTCCCCCTTATGATACAGCTATACACTCCTCTAGCTCAGGGGCAACAATCATAAACCTGTTTTGTATATCCTTCCAGAGCTATTCCATGCATATACATAAAGACACCCCCCTTTTAAACAAAAAGACAACACTGTCCAAAGTACATTGCTTTTGTTGTTGTTGTTATTCACTTACTATACTGAAAATAATTCCCTCTGGCACATAGGGAGCTATTGTATTCTTATTTGTGGCTGCATGGTATGTAGTGTTTGCATGAGCCACAGTTTATTTCACCAGTCCCTTATTGCTGAGCACTTGGTTCACTTCTAAACTCTTATTATTAGAAATCAAGCAGCACTGATTTTCCTTGCCTATCCACCATTTCCACTGTGTGAATATAAATGTAGGAGAAATTCCTGGCAGTGGAATTGTTGCATCAAAGGGTTTGTGCATTTGAAATATTGCTAAGTAGGGTTTCTAGCAACTTACCCTCCCACCCGCCATGTGTGAGCTTGCTGTTTCCTCACACCTACACCCACTTGGTAAGTTATCAAACTTTCCAAACTTTGCCAAACTAGTCATTGAAAAATGGCCTCTCAATGTAGTATTAATTTGCATTTCTCCTATGTTGAGTGGGGTTGAACATTTTGTCACATTTTCCAATCATCTGTATTTTCTGTGAACAATACAAATAACTTGCTTATTTTTTCTACTGGGTTCTGAATTGTTATTATTTATTTACAGGTTCTACTTACACATCAAAGGCACATATGTCTGCACGACAAGCTTTAGAAACAATGCTTTTTGGACAAGTTGCTTTTAGACAGAAATGGGAAGTTTCTTCAGGGTACATCATTCTGACATTACCACAGGGCTGCGCAATGGCTAAGATCTGGCAGCTGTGCCAGGTTGTGTTCTGGGAGGTGAAGTTAGAAGGTGGGGGCGTGGGGTGGGCAGGGAGGCAGTCAGCTCTTGCACTCGATGGAAAGGGCTGTCACATGAAACAGTGACTTGTCCATCACAGGAGGTGGACAAGACAGGTAAGTGTGGCTCTAAGGCCCTTGGCCTGAGAACATGAAATCTCTGAAGATAGACAAATCAGAAATAGAGGATCAATTTCTGATCATGCAGACCTGATTGGGTGGTTACTGTATCTGGAAGTTCCAAGTAATATTATTTAATCATTTTATGAATACTCTGCAATGTAAACTCTGTGAGGCCAAGATTCAGGAGCTAAATACCTTGCAATGAAGGAATGAACAAATCAATGAATCAATCTAATAAAAGGATGTGAGGCTCTTTTGTTTCTGAGTCTGGAGGGAGCCCTCTTCCCCATCTTCCCTCTTTGAACCTGCCCCCTCCTCTCTTCCTCTTACCCCATCTGAGTCATGTCATAGCATCTCTCATTTGGTCCTTCTCCCAGCCCCCTGCCTCAATTCCCCAGCACCTCAGCTCTCCTCTGCTCTCCAGTCAACCTTCTGAAGCAGCTACATTCCCTTTAAGAAAAAAACAAGCCCATTAGGCCTGCATGGCTCCCCACTGCTTACACTATCTAGCCTGCCCTTCGAGGTCTCCTTAATCTGCCTACTTCTCTGCTTTCCTCTCCTAAATCCTGACCACCCGCTTCTCACACACATGCTTTTCCAGCAAAAACAAGGGTTGTTTTTGTTGATCACTTAATATGTGTACTTTTACATGGGTTATCTTGCTTAAGCCTTACAACTCTATCAGATCTATGAGGTGATGACATTATTATCTTCAGCTAATAGATGAGGAAACCAAGACCCAGAGACATTTAGGGGCTCACCCCAGATGACCGAATGAGTAAGATAACAGAGCTGGGATTCAGACCACACAGTTGTCCCCAGGACTGGAGCGCCTACTGCACTAGTTAACTGGTTACCCATCTTGGAGTGTGCTATCCAGCTCCTCTGCTTTGCTCCTGCTGCACCCCACCCCAGGCTTCTCCCTTTCTATTGTCTCCCTGCCAAAAATTGTGCTCATTCCTCAAGGTCTTGCTCATAAATCAACTCCTTTGCAAAGCCTTTTCCAACTTCCTAGAAAGAGCTGGCTTCTCACTCTTTGATCTGACAGTTGAGAACTCAAGGCTGTGATAATCTGGGGACATGTCTTCCCCATCAGGTGCAGAGTCCTCCAGTGGACAGGAATTGTTAAGTACCTCCCTCTACTGTCTAGCACAGAGTGGATGTTCTCTAAATGTTTGATGACTGAATGATGGTGACCCCAGGATTCCTTCCCAAAAAACAGTTGGGGAGGATTGCTTGGAGTCTCCAGTGAAACTGGGAGGGAGAAAGAAGTTGCAGGGCTTCAGTGGAAGAGGGTAGTTAGAAACAATTTCACTAACTTCACCATTTGCTCTTAAGCAGGGACTCACCCCAGGGGTCCAGCTGATAGGGAAGTTCCATCCTTACACCATGCAAAGAAGTCTTTGGGAATTAGCTGTCCTACCCTGAAGGGATTTTCCCCTCTTACAGTGCTAGGAAAGATACCATGAAGGGAAGCGATCCTAGCAGGGTTGTTAGATGCTACAGGAGGAAGTACGACCAGAGTCCCCATGCTCAGCGCCTAGGTGGCCACAGTTGAGGCCCTTTGGCCCTCAGAAACCAAGGGGTTCTATGACTTTGGTAAGAGGGTAGTTCCGGGCTGGGTGGGGACTTCCTCAATGTGTGAGGGAAATTGCTTCACCTCTAGAACTGTGGTAAGAACTATACCACTGTCTCTCATCAGCCTTGACACTATGCCCTGGCTTGTGAACTTGATCTTGCAAAATCCTCAGGCCTTTAAAAGGGATCCCTATCTCTTTAATCCCTATCCTTAGCCAACTGACTCCTCCCCTGGTGGCCAAAGGGGTAAGTCTCAGTGCTACTACCTCATTGGTCTACCATGGTAGCCTGAGCTTGATCCCCAGCCAGGGAGCTAACCACACACACGGCTTAGCAGACCTCTCCTGTCTCACTGCTGCTCCCCTCCGCAGTGTATTTCAGTAGATTTGCCTGTTTTGCTCCCCACTCTGTCTCTGGTGAAACCTTTCACCTCCCAACTGAGAGAACCCCAGTTCTTGTATTCATAAATAAAAATAAATCTAAAAAAACAAAAACAAAATGTCTCAGCCAGTGACCAGTACAGTCCAAAGACTAGTAGACAGGACAGCAGAGAGGCTAGGGACATAGGCTCTGGGGCTAGTCAGATGTGGGTCCAAATCCCAGTTCATTGTATGACCTTGGATCATTCACTTTACCTCCTGAGCTCCAGTTCTCTTTCATAAAGAGGAGAAATACATTTGAAAACATCAAAATTATGGATTTGTTCAGTGGAGCAAATTTGTTCAAAGGAAGATGTAGACCAGCAGTTCTCAAAGTGTGGTGGTTCTTGGACTACTAGTCCCACTGAGTACTGAGCAGCTATGTCCCACCCCTGCTCTATTGAGTCAGAAATTGTGGGTGGAGCTCAGCACCCTGATGCACGCTAACCTTTGAGAAACAGATACACTTGTATCTGCCACAGATACACTTCACAGATGAGCAACATATCAGAAGATGTTTGCAACATTAACATCCAAGATAAGAGGTACATGATATGAACAGACAGTTCACGGAAAGGGAAACCCCAATGCCTGACAGGTATAGCAGGTATAGGAGGTTCTGAATTTCAGGATTAATAGAGAAATGCAAATGTAAACAACGAGATGCGACCTAACACCCAAACTGTGGGCAGAAATTACAAAGTCAGATCACATAAAAGCTGATGAAAATGCGGGGAGCTGTACAGCACCCTTCATGCGCTGTGATTAGAGCCAGTCTAGCAAAATTTAGCAAAATTTCAAATGTATATGCCCTGTAATCTAGAATTCTCTTCTTGGGTATAGAATCCAAAGAAATTTTTACATAGACCCATGAGGGTCATGAACAAAAGTGCTCAACACAGTGTTTAAGAAGGAGTTGGAAGCAACCTGGGTGTCCATCACGGTGGGGGTGGGTACATAAAATAGTGGATACTTAGCTTGGAATATTATGTGGCAGCTAAAATCAATAAGCTAGATTTCCACATAGCAACATGGGTAGACCTTAAAACCGTATATGAAGTGAAAAAAGGAAGAGAGAGAATAGGATCCTTACTACAATTCTATTTATGTAGTATAAACACACACTCACAAAGCACTGTGTGTTTTACGCTCAGGAACATATGTCAGTGGATAAAGGTGGTTGCCCACAGGGGAGAGGGGGAGGGGAGGGATTATGGGGAATGCATAGACAGACAGGAAAAATAAAACATCAGAAGGGCCTTGCAGGATCGATCATGATGTGATAATCATTTGCTACAAACAGTAGCAATCATGGAACTCTCTGGACCTGATGCCCCAGAATAATAACCTAACTGGTGATAATGGTACCTACCTCACAATAAGTACTATGTGTCTAGACATGGAAAGTTCTGCAACGTTTTACAAAAAAAAGGTTTAGCTTTTCTATGTGAGCCTCTTCTGAGGGTGCATTCATTTTAGCCTCCAAGCCTTGCTCAGACTGTATTGAGTGCTGACTTCTCTTCCTCTCCAACCCCCTCCTCTGCAGGTTTCTTCGGCTATCTCAACCCCTGCCGTGGCTGGCTATGAAGTCTTGGGAAATTTTCATTCGGGGCTTGAGCACAAAGCCAGGCTGTATTAGAGCTGTGGTAGCTAAGTCCACTTCCCTTTTCTCAAACTGTGAGTTCCCTGAGTGTCTTCTCACACCTCAACCTCTCCTCAGATCCCATTCCCTCGAAACCAGGCAAGACAGGTAAATCAAGCCAGAAAATGTTAGATGTGGATGGGAACAGCATTTCGTGAGCACCTATCACATGTTAAGGTCAGGTCTCGACTTTCATTAATGCCCCCAAGCACCTGGTGAGGTAGGTGGGGCTGGCTTGTGGGACAGATGAGGAAATAGGAGGCACAGGAAGGCTGGGACACCTACCAGACAGGAGGCCTAGGTCGCCGGTCTCCAAATCCAAGAGCTGAACAAGCCACTTGCTCAGGGTCTTAGGGCCAGGACAGGAACACACGTCACCTACCTCTGAGTCACCTCTCAGTAGAGAAAACCTCGATTCCAATTTTATGCCATGGGGGAGAAGGAGAGCCTGCACTTAGAGCCTTAAAAGGCCCTCTAATCTATTTACTAGGGCCATTTTGAGGTACATCTAAGGAGAATCAGGAGATCCCCTCAAGTGCCTTCTTTCTTGAACCTCAGTTTATTAAATGGTAAAACAAGAGGAACAGCGGTCTCTGGTTCTGGAAATCCTTTTCTCAGTCGCCCAGCAGGTGGATCCCACTGTTCATCCCTCCCTTGGCTTCCAGAGAGCTGCGGGGTTGGGGTAGGGGGGAGTGGGTGAAGGCCCTGCTCCCCTGGCTGGTGGGACTAGGTGGGCCCACTCTGCACCTCCGGCTGACCTACCGCTCGGCACGTTCCAGACCGCCCCCTGCAGGGGCTTCTCGGTACTGCAGGGACCGAGCCCCGCGGGCAGGGAGCAGAGCCAGAGCCGAGGCCTGGGAGGTGGAGGCCCTGGGTAGGGGTGCAAAGAGCTCACTCCAGGAATGGGGTACCAAAGGCAAGAGTGAGACTCAGGGCTGGGCTGCGGGGCTGCCCTCCCCTGCCCTCCACAGGGGCAGCGGCGACAGGCTATAGGTAGTTGTCCTCGGCCGTGTCGCCCCCGCCTGGGGAGTCCCGGGCGTCCTCGTCCGTGCTTTGGTCCTCGTCGTCGTCGTCAGGGGCCAGCGCCTCGATGTCATGCGTGATGTCGGCCAGCAGCCGGTGGAAGGTCTGGGCTTCGGGGCGCTGAGCCGCGCCGTCGTAGCTGCGCACGGCGGACGCGGACGTGGAGCTCATGCTGCGCTTGATGCGGCCGAAGCTGTCGGTGAGGATGCCTCCCTCCCGGATGCCCACGCCCTCCAGGAAGCCCTCGAAGTAGCCGATGTCCTGGTCTGGGATGAAGGGGCGCATCCCTGCCGGGCCGCGGCGCAGGGTAAGTTCCTGGGGTTCAGCCCATTCCCCTTCCACGGAGCAGGCACCCTCTCCTGAGGTCTGAGCTCACATACCCTCCCGCCACTGGCTGCGCAACCTGGCACGGGTGCCTCGGCTGTCTGAGCCAGAGGGCAATGACACGTGCCTGGCACACGGTGAATGCTTCCTTGTTGTCATTAATATTATTGCATTGTTATAGTCCCATAGAGTAGCTATGTGAGCCTCATTAAAGAACGACTCTGAGCCTTAATTTCCTTGCCTATAAAATTAAGATAATTGTACCTGTTCCTTCCCGGTAGGGATGTGAGGATTAAGTAAGGTCTTTAGGACACACTGAGTACTCCATAAAAGTTAGCTCAGTTTACTTCCATCACTACTTGCTATGTGACGTCACTCGTTTACTTTGCTTTTCTGAACCTGTTTCTTCATCTGCAAAATAGTGGCAAATAAGTTTCTGCTTCCCAGAGCAGCGGGTATACAAAGAGGTGGTGTTTGCCACCTGGCAACTGCCAAATACACCTTTGGTTATTAGCCTTTGGTACCCCATTCCTATTTCTGGTTGTACTGAACAAGTGCTTTAGCCTCCCTGAGTCTCAGCTTCCTGATAGCTATGAAAGAAGAGTCATTCCCTCTCCCAGCTTCGCTCCAAAGGTGAAATGGCTACACCTTCTTACTGGTTCTCTCATTGCAGGCCAGGCCCTGCCCTTCCCTATGCCCCCATCTCCCCATAAGCCCCATGAATCTCATGATCTTGGCCTTTTGGCAAGGTGAGAGAGAAGGAGAAAAAATCCCACTGTGGTGCGTGGACTATGGAGGGACCTCTACTACCCTGGGGGCTGGGGCCCGGCTCACCAAGGAGGAGGAACTTGCGCCGGTCTCCATAGAGCTTCAGCAGGCCTGCGCAGTAGTCCTGGATGGGCAGCCCCAACCGGTACTCCCGGAGCAGCAGCGCAAACTGCTGGATCTCAGGGGGCCCCAGTTTACTCCGCAACTGAGAGACAGCAGTCAAGATCAGTCCTGAGATCAGCTCCACCCAACCCTTCCTAAAAGATCCAGAGCCCTCTCTAAGAGCCCTTTCCAAGGAGCTCATGCCTCCTTGGAAACCCTTCCATGCCTGCAGAGGAATGTTCAGACCCCTTGCACTGCACCTAAGAATGGAGTGTGGGTGCAAGTTGCCTGAGTTCGAATCCTGACCCCTCCATTTGTCAGCTATATGATCTTGGGTAGGTGACAACCTTCCTGACTCTCGATTTCTTCATCTGCAAAGTGAGGGTAATGGTGGGACCTCCCTCTAGGGTTGTTGAAAGGATTGACAGACATGATTCAAAAATTGTGCTTAGAAGAGTGTCTGAAATACAGCAAGACCTCAGTTAATCCAGGTTATTATTAAGGCCTTTCACAAGCTGGCCTCAGTTTATTCTAACCTCATGTCCCAACTTGACTTCTGATCTTACACTTCTGTTATGGCCAGGATTAGTCATGATTCCTGAAATACCTCCATGTTTTCTGCAGCCTCCAGGACTTTGCTGGTGCCATTCTTCACTGCCTTCCCCAGCTTACCGTGACCATGTAATCTTGCAGTTGCTCAAGGCCCAGGCCACTGTGGTCACTGCCACTGCAGTGGGAGCCGTGGAAAGAGGGTGTGGATGTGCCACTGTAACAGGCTTCAAATGTGTCCTGGGAGCCATTGCTGCAGAGACATGTGGAAAGGAAGCTCATTCACCCGCCTCCAGCTCCTCTCGCTGTGATAGGCTGAAGGTGGGAGGCACAACTACTAATCCTCTGGGCATGCAGCCTCATCCTAGACCCTATTTTGCCTTTCAAGGACCCACAAGAACTGGTGCCTGGCAATCTCTCAAGTTTCATCTCTCACTGTGCACTCCTTTGCACAAGGTACTGTGCCTTCTTCCTTTTCCTCCAATACTCCAAGCACTTTCTCACCTCTGGGCCTTTGCACATGCTGTTCCCTCTGTCTGGAATTCCACTCTCCCCCTTCCTTTTACTCAACTAACTTTTACTCATTGGATCTTAACTGTTACTTCCTCAGGAAATTTTCACTGATCCTCCTGGACTGGGTTAGAGCCTTTGTCTAACAAAATCTGTAAGTTTACTCAAGACATGTAAGGCTTTTCTGGATCCCCCCACCAAATGTCCTCTCTGACCATGCTCTCCCTCACACCCTCTGCCACAGTCAGAGAGGCCTCTTGGCTGTACTACAAACACACCCAGTTTCATCCTGCTTCCAAATCCTTGCACTTGCCATTCCCTCTACCCGATTGCCCTCTCTCCAGCATCTGTCAGGTTAAAGATTAGCCTAAGGTACACAATATTAGGGAGGTAAATATATTGCCTCTAAAAAGGAAAATAGGTAGGGCATATATTGCCAGCAGAGACTGCTATTTATTAAGCCACAGCCCTTAGTACCAGAACTAAGGTGACTAACTGGATGACTAGCTAATAGGGTGATTAACATCCCAGGTTGCCCAGGACCATGCTGGTCTTAGCACTGAAAACCCTGTGTCCTGAGAAACCCCTCAATCTTGGGTAAACTGGGGTGGCTGGTCTCTAAATAGAACCCTGGACAATGCTCTCGACTGAGGGGTTTTTTTTTTTTTAATTCTACATTTTCCAGCCTTGCTTATAGCTCCATATGGCCAAGTGGCTAAGTTTTGGTCAATGAGAGGTAAGCAGAAGCCATCACGTGGGAATTCCTGCAAAGCTCTTTAAAGTGGCCCCTGCACTCTACTGTGATGGCTGGAGCTACCACCACCATCTTGGTCTGTGAAGTGACCTGGAAGATGGAAGCAAGTGTTGGGTGGGCAGGGAAGAGAAGTCTGGGCCCCTGATGACCATGAGGACACTAACTCCTGGTCTATTTAATATAATAGGTGTGTTTGTGTGTGTGGGGAAGTTCCCTCTTATTTAATTTATTCTTTTGGGGGGGGGTGACTGGGTGCCTGGGAGAGAACGCAGGTCTGCAGAGACCCCATTTTCAGCTCTGGTTGTCCCCTGAGACTCTCAGGGGTCTGGATGCTCCGAGCACATCAAAACCTGGGAAGCACAATTTACCTGCCCTCAGGGCCTGTGTCTCAGCACAAATCTAGAAAGGATCATTTTCTCCCACCCTCTCTGACCCTCAGGGGTCTCAAGAGTGCCTAGAAGACCCTTCTTGTTAGTGTGTATGGAGAGAGGGAGGGCGTCAGCAAGGGCAGTACCTACAAGGAGCTGCAGCAGCTGAAGTCGGCATCATAGGCGTAAGTCCCATCCGTGCGGCAGCTCTCACCTGGGACCACAGACAGAGGGGCTGTCAGAGGTACCAAAGCCAGGGACTTTCACCTCCTATTCCCTGAGGCCCCACCTCAGCTCCACCCTGGCTTGTGATGGGGCTGGAGCAAGGGTGGCTGGTAAGAAGCTGTAAGTGCTAGCTTTTACCCGGACGGGAACAGGCGGCCACTGAAGGAGTCTGACCATGATTCCTGCCCCATCACCAACACACAGCCAGCCTTGGGTGACTGACGTCCTCTCTCCACACCCTCATATTAGACAATACCGCCTTCTGGCTACATCTAGGGACTCTTGGGGGTAGCAGGCAAGAGAACAGGTGAGGGAAAATAGGTAAATTATATGTTTGAAGTGAGACAAAAAGGACTTTGTGGGGAGGAAGGACCTCAAAATCTTGAGAGGAAAGAAGCACCATTTACAAAGAACTTGTCCTGCATCTAGTCCTGTTATCTCACTGAAAGCAGGTACTGGCCTCATCCTTCCCAGCCTGGTTCACTCAGGACACTCCTCTGACTTCCCACCCGAGGCCCAGGCTTCTTCTGCATTATATGTTCTAAGTGGCAGAGTGTGTGGTTGCATTTTATTTGTATAACTCAGCCGAGCTCAGCAAGGTGACACCCCTGAAGCCAGGGCCATGACTAGTTTGGGTCACCAGTACATCCTGCTGACTAGCACTAAATCTGGCACATCATAACAACTCGATACATATTTGCTGAATGAATGAATGACTGGAAATATTGTCGAGTGATCTCATTTATTTGTCCATCATTCCTGTGAGAGTTGACGAGGGAACCCAAGTGTCCAACCACCACAGTCCACACAGGTGGGATAGCCTTCAGAAGGAAAGAGCCAGCTCTCTGTGGCTGGAGCTACACCAACAAAGACCACATTAAGGGGGCTGCTGCTGAGTAAATTCATTTGATGGCCTTGAAGGCAGCATGAAGAGTGAGATTGTTGCACGTAGAAGCTTCAAAATCAGACATACCTGGGTTTGATTCCTGACCCTGCCACTTTCAAACTGTGTGACTTTGAATCATTTATTGACTATTCTGTGCCTGAATATCCTCATCTGTTAAATTGGAATCATAACGCCTCACAGCATTCATTCATCCATTCAAAAAATAGTCCTTTAGTATCTGGGTTGTGCCTGGTCCCACATTAGGCACAGAGATACAGTGGCAAACAGGACAGATAGGCTGCTATGAGGATTAAATAAGACTTGGCTTATTGGGCCTCCCCTGGTGCACTGGGCTGCAAGGCTGCCTGCAGCGCCGGTGAGGGTCCCACAAAAAAAAAAAAAAAAGACTTGGCTTATCAATATGCTCCCTGGCACATAGTTGGTGCTCAATAAGTGCCTCTGTTCTCACTCTCATTCCAGTTCCTGATTGCTTTCAAGAAGCATCTGGAAATCTTGGTTTTGGCCTAGAATCCTGGTGGGCTAGAAGGCTCAGTAAGCAGACAAGGCCTGTGCTCAGGTTTCTGCAAAGCAGGGATGCCAAAAGCCAAAGGGAGAGAGAATAGCTCAGCTCTGAGGGGCTTATTCTGAATCTTATGCTTAACTGGAGCATCTATGAGAAGCTAGGCTAGAAGTCATGATGAAAATGGACACCTTATTTTAACTACAAATTGGGGCATACTGTAATTGCCATAGCCATCAGGGCCCCTAATGGCTTTCATCAGCCCCAGTCTTGGAACAGCCCCCCCACCCTACCTTTTAGGATGTTTCAGAGGAGGGGTGGCCAGGAGCGTGAGTACTCACTGCGGCTGCAGAGCCACGGCCGTTCAGGTGTGGACGTGTAGTGGTAGCCGGCCCGGTCCACGCACTCGATGCTCTGATCCCCGTAGATGATCTGGAAGACCTGACAGATGAGGGCGCAGGACTCCTCAGCAGCATCCTGGCCCAGGGAGGAGGAGAGAGAGCTCAGGACCTTTGCAGTGACCAGGATGCCCCTGCTTCCTAGAACACAGCATGAGGAGGCTCAAAGGGCATACCCTAGAGACACCCACACCCACGGACACCTTTAAGTCTATTTTGAGAACATTCCATCAGTTACATGGCCACTCTGAGTCTTGGCATATAGAATCCAGTGGCAACTCTAACTCTTATGCAGTAAAAAATGTACAATGTACCCCATATTTCAGGGTGGTTCATGGGCACTCTTAAGACTTACCTAGAATAATTTCTAATCTTGTTTAGAGATAGGAAGCTGAGGCCCAGAGAGGTGAAGTAATTAGCCTGACCAGAACCCAGGTGTCCTAATATGTAATAAGAGGAGGAAGAATTAAACATATGAAAATATTAGGCTCAATACGGTGGCTACTATTAGATGCCATATTTAGATACGAGCTTCCTGACATCCAGAAGCAGCATGAATACATAAACTTTGTGAAACTTTTTTGAGACTGCAAATTTGAAGAGGAATTTGCTTCTTTAATTTGCCTCTGTCTTTGAGACATAGAAAGACAGTAACTAATGAAGAAACAACCATCAGGAAGTCATTTCTTATTTTGTGTCTCTGAAAAAGCCACGGGTATAAATTAAAATGTAACCTAAGAATAGGCATTTTGGGATGGGGGAGTGTACGGATTACTAAACCAAAATTGAACCTTACAATAACCCTATAAAGTAGACAGGGGTCTCAGGTGCTTATTTTGGAGCTAGGGACTCTGAGGCTTAGAGTGGTGAAGTGGCTCGCCTGAGCTCAGACAGCAGGCTCACAGCATTGGTTCGTATTGGCACCCAGGTTTTTTGACTAATTCTTGTACTCTTCCCGGGACCATGAGGCCTCAGAAAGGAAGCCAAAGGCTCAGATACTCCTGGAAAACATTTATTCACTCATTCTACAAATTCTCATTTCATCCTATTGTGTGGCAGGTTCTGGAGTCTCAGGGATGAATTAGACAAGGTCTGTATCCTAAGGTCCTCACAGTCTGTAGGATAAGCAGGGCACACTATTATCCCTGTCCGGAATTATTTGTTTATTTGTTTGTTTGTTTGTTTAATTTTTGCCCTGCTGACTCCTTCTTTTCTTCCACATTTTGGTTTAAAAGACACAAACTCACTTTCCCTATGGAAAATGGATCTCCTCCCTCATCACTGCAAACTACTTGTTTTCTTGGATGAATCATTCAATATTTATTGAGCACCTATTAGGTGCTCTGCATGCTAGATATAAACCACAAGCGAAACATCCAGAACTTATAGGTCTTTTGCGCACTACCAGGGGACCAGTCTTGCTGGAGTGGAGTGAATAGGGGAGAAGGGAGTAGAAAGAGATGAGACCAGAGAGGAACTAGGGATGGTGTATGGAGCACAATGACCTTAGAAGCATTGTAAGGACATTAACTTTCACTCTAAGTGAAATGGGGGAGTCACTGAAAGATTTTGATAAGTGACATGATATGACTTATGTGTAACAGGACTGCCATCATAAGCAAGAGCCAAAACAGGAGGGGTGAATGCATGGTCCAGATGAGAAAATAGGGGCATGGAGCTGGGAGGGACAGCGGAGGGTGGTGAGCAGTAGATGAATTTTGGTTAATTTTTAAAAATAAGGTCAACACAGAGAGAGAAACACTAAGGACCACTACAAAGTTTTAATCTCAGCAATGGTAGGACAGAGCTGCCATTAATCAAGACAGGGAGACCAAGGAAGGAGCAGGTTTCCAGAGAAGAATTGGGAGCTCAGCTTTGGAAATGACTTTTAGGCTTGAGGTGGCCATTAGATCTTCAAATGGAGAGGCTGAGCGGAGATATGCCTTGGTGAGAAATAAATATGGGGAGTTCTCAGCATTTTAAAAGTCATGAGAGGAGTAGCAATGAGTGTCAATAAAAGGGAAAGAGGATCAGGAACTAAGCCTGGGGTGCTCCAACCCTGAGAGGCTGCAGAGAAGTAGCAGCTGGTGAGTCAGGAGGAAAACCTGGAGAAAGTGCTGAGCTGGACATTAGGGGAGAGTGTTTGAAAGGGGAGTGAATCAGCTCCAGAGTCTGAGTTTAGTGGTTATTATCCATCTCTCTCTCCCGATAGGCACCAAGCCTGTTTTGTTCACCACTGATCATATACAGAGGCAGTTGGGGACCCTAGGTCACAGGAAAAGCTTAGAAGGCTCAGGATTTGACAGTGCCTACTAGGCTGTGAGTTCTGTAAAGAGGATACCAAACACCTTGTACACATCTGTATCCACAGCATCTACCCAATGCCTAGCACAAAAGATGGCCAATAAATAAAGGCAGGGTGAATGGGGGTAGGAAACTAGGGAGGCAAGAATGGTGGTAAGGCTTCTGAACGTCCTGGTGCCAGTGTTGAAACCATCACCTACTTTTTGTGTGACCTTGCATAAGTTATCAATACTTAGCATCTGGGTCTCAGTTTCCTCCTCTGTAGAAGGGGTGGTTGTAGTATTTGCCCCTAGGAGAAACTGTGACAAGGAACTGAGTTCATGCTGGTTCCGGGTCTGGATGGGTTGGCACTCATGACTTACTGCCGTGGCAATGCCCACATCGACTGCATTGGAGAAATAGCAGAGCTGGATAGATGAAAGTCTGTTTAAGCCATTTTGAGTTTTCATCGCATTGGGACAGTCAGGGGGAGGTGTCCTGGGGTGTCAGAGGCTAGAGTTTAAGTCTTTTGGCATCATGGGCGCACAGAAAGGAGGTTGGATGGAAGGAAGGAGAAGCAAAGAGGCCAGGGCGGATCCCAGGAACCTCGAGACTGGCACCGGGTGGAGGGTGGGGTCGGTACCCTCCCACCCTCGACGCGCCGGGGAGGCGAGGTCAGGGGCGCAGGGTCCCCGCGAGCTCACCCTGTTGGCCACAGCCAGGATGACAAGGTTGCAGTAGGCGTCGGGGCTGGGGTCCTGGGGGTCCAGCGGGTTGGAGCCCGGGTGGCGGCGCTCCCAGCTGCCGCCGCCGCTGCCCGCCTGTCTGCGCTCCCAGCTGCCCCCCGGCTTGCCCGCGCCGGCCCCGCCGCCGCCGTGCCGCCGCTCCCAGCTGCCGCTGAAGGTCTGCCGCCGCTCCCAGCTGCCCGACGCCCGCGTCCCCGCGCGCTGGCGCTCCAGGCTGCCGCCGCCGCCCCCGGCCCGGGTCTCGGCGCCCGCGCCCCCGCCCCACGCCATCCGCCAGTCCAGGCTGCAGATGGTGTGGCGCCGCTCCGTGGTGCCCCCCCGCCGCTTCTCGGGCGCCCCGCCGGGCGGGCCTGGGTCTCGCGCGGAGCCCCCGGGACTGGCGTCCACACCGGCTGGCACGGGGTCCACGCCCAAACCTAGGAGAGGCCGGGTGGCCGTCAGCCGCGGAAATTCGGTCCTGGAGCCCCCTCCAGAGGCCACCCGCGCCGCCCAACACAGCCGCCCACGTGGGCCCAGCCGCCCCTGGCCCCGCCCCGCTCCAGGCCCCGCCCCCGGACTCAGGCCCCGCCCCGACCAAAGCCCCACCCCTTGGCTCAGGCCCCGCCCCTGGAGTCAGGCCCCGCCCCGATCCAAGCCCCACCCCTTGGCTCAGGCCCCGCCCCCGGATCCAGCCCCCCCGGCTCAGGCCCCGCCCCCGGCTCAGGCCCCGCCCCGGTTCAGGCCCCGCCCCGACTCGAAGCCTGGAGACCAGATCCGCCCGCCACTCGCATTCTCATTTCCAGGCCCCTGCCTCGCTTCAGCTTCCACGCCTGGTTCTGGGCCCGTAGGCCGTTTTCTCCCGCGCCAGCCTACCTCGGCGCCCCTCGCCTCAAACCTGCCGTTTGGCCTGAGGATGGTGGGCGGTCTACCTCCAAACTCTGTCCCTGGATTCCAGCCCCGCTCACCCCCTCACCCCTAGACTTAGGCCCCGTCCCTAGCCCGGCAGGTCCGACAGCCCCGCTTGCTCCCTCAGTCGCGAGCTCCAGCTCTCCGCCCTCGCCTGGCTCTGCCCCAGGTTCCGCCGCCTTCACCCTGCCTCAGGCCCCGCCCCGCCTCAGGCCCCGCCCCGCCTCAGGCCCCGCCCCCGCCCCAGGCCCCGCCCCCGCGGCTGTCCCGCGGCCCGGTCGCCAGCCCCGCCCGCCAGGCGGCCCGCGGTACCGGTCTTCAGCACCAGCAGGTGCAGCGCGTCATCCTGCAGGTAGGAGGCGGCGGCGATCTCGTGCGTGGGGATGCGAAGGATAAGTTCCTCGTTGTCCCTCCAGGTGAGCAGCAGGCAGCGGGCCGACAGGCTGAGGATGCTGTCCTGCTCCGCCGTGGTCTTCAGCGGCAGCTCCTTCAGCTGCTGCAGGGTGGGTCGGGACTCTGAGCCCCCGCGGCCACGGCGGGAGAGGCAGAAGGGAACAAGACCCTGCCCTCCCCCAAATCTCACCCTGGCCGTGTCCAGCAGTTGCAGGAGCTCGTCCCGGCTGGAGGGGTTCAGTGAGGACGTCACCCAGGTGAGGTGGCCCAGGAACTGGATGGGAAGGGAGCGGGTGAAGGAAGGAGAGAGGCTTAGGGAACCCCAACCTCCTTTCTGAGGCAGTGAGGGTAGACTAGTGTAGATAGAAATATCTGAATTAATAATAATAGCTTGATAATAACCATTATAAAAGCGGTCTTAGAAGCTGGACATAGTCCTGACAGCAATGTGTACATTTACTCCTGGCCCCTCTCTGTAAGGATGAGGCAAAAAGGATGTGCCTGTCTTTAAGGTACATCAAAGCTAAATTACACGCCCACCGTACTCCACACACCGGCGCCCATTGCTAGCTAGAGTGCTTGAGCACAGTTATTTAGCTGGCCCCAAGCAGAAGGCACACTCTCAGCCTGAATGAACTAACCACCTGCGAATTTCCTCTTGGCCTGAGTGGCTCTGACCAGTCCAAGCACCACTGTCAGCCGACTGGACAAGCCAGTTACTTGCCTCTATGATTTTGTTGCAAAGCCAATGGAAAGAGAAGACTATCGTATCAAATTAATGCAGAATCTCATCAATAAATTAATTTTTCATTCTTATTTATTACTCAGTGGTAACAATTACATGTTATTCAATATCAGAATTAACTCTTCCTTATTTTTAGCTTTATTCTTCTAGGTAAATTCCAACAAACCAACCTTTTCTCTTTATTCTCTATGAAGTGTCAGTCCCAGTTCTTAAGTGGATTTATTTGTGAGCTTTTCCCTCCATATAGGGTTTCCAGATAAAATACAAGATGCCAGTTAAATTTGAACTTCACATAAACAACCAACACAATTTTAGTTTGTAGTAAAAGTATTTTTAGTCCCATGCAATATTTGGGACATATTATTTCTAAAAAAGTACCCTGGTTATCTGAAATTCACATTTAAGTGGGTGGCCTATTTTTGTTAACGCTAACACTCCTACCCCTTTATCGGTCTGTCTTCCTTGGGTAATGAGGATTCTCCACTGATCCTTTCTGGTGTTCATGAAATAGGAGTAAAGCCCTGACTTGGCCTACATCCCTTGTGGCTTGCTGAACTGGGTTTTTGTAACCTGGACACTGTCTGAGTAGCAACAACATCTCTGCAGTAAAATCTCCCAGGAAGGTATGGCTGTTCAGGGCACAGCACACTCTCCTATCCACTGTCTCCTGGGATAGGGTATGAGACCCATTTTGAGATGGGAGCTCTGAGGCTGAGCAGGTAGAGGCCCCACAGCTGAAGGCAGGTGCTGGGGCCCAAGCCTTTTCTCCCCCGAATCTTCCTGTGCGAGAGAGGCTGGGGTTGGTGTATGGGAGAGGTAAGGTCTCGCCTCATGCGGCCCAGGGCACACTACCCTCCAACTCGGGTGTCTTGGCATATTGAGTATCTTAAGCTGAAGGAGTTTGAGAACAGGGCAAAAGTAGGAAGTTCACTCTGAATTCCCTTTCACCCGTCTTCCCTGAAAAGCAGGAAAGAAATCGCCCCAGTAAAAGGTGCCCTCCCAGCACCAGGCAGAAGGGGGGATATCCTTATCACTGGAGGCAGGATTGAGGGCCCAGAGGGCAGTATAAATGAACCTTGTTCCTTTACCATTTACGATCCCAGCCCAAACCCCTCTACTTGCCAACTCTTCATGAATTTATAGTTTCTTTGTCAAAAGGAACAAAACTTTCTGCTCTGGTCACTTCTTGGGGTCTTCACCATCTTGTGAAGTCTCCCATGTATGTGTAGAATTTTAATAAAAGGTGTGTATGTTTCTCTGGTTAACCTGTCTTTGTCAGTTTAATTTGAAGACCCAGCCAGGGTCCCTAAGAGAGCAGAGGAAACCTTTTCTCCCCTGCATTCCTCACCCCAAGGTGGTTTCCGCTCCTCATCTGACACGCACCTTGACCTCTTTCTCCAGGTAGTCGCACAGCAGAATCTGGGGGTCGATGAGGTAGTCAGGGGGATAAAGGGGCATTGAGTGCAGGGGCCGGCGGCTCACACTGCTCCGAAACGCTGCCCGGCGAGCGGACTTGGGGAACACCAGCCTGCGGATGGGGGATACGAAGCCCTGGGGGAGGACACAGTAATAGTGATAAGGTCAGTGACCGGCTTTATCGAGCAGTGACCTTACTGTGCTCGGTGTTTTTTTTCACATCACCCATTTTAATTCTCTCTGTGGAAGGGTACCTTTGTGATCCCCATTTTACAGATGGAGAACTTGAGACTGGAGGGGGGAATGGGCTGATAAGGTCACCAGCTAGTGACAGTAGAACCAATATTTCAACATGGGTGGTCTGGCTTCAAAACTTCCTTTGTAAATACCCAGGTGAGGGTGGAGGCCCTGCCAAGGCCCTGGGCCAGGTGGAAGGAATGGGCGCAGGTGGGGGCATGTACAGAAAAATACTAAGTTTCCATGTGTCTGGGTGGTGGGTGCCTCGGTGTTTGTTAAACATCTATTCTCTGTGCTTTCCTAAAAGTTAAAAATAGCAAATACATATATTTATGATCTGGCAAACACCTGCCTAAAAATGGCCCCGGGAGGGCTAGAGGGGGAAATTCCTGGGCCCCAGCCCAGCATCGAAACAAAATGTCAAAAGAAGATCGGAAGAGCATTCTCAACAGTAGTTCTCAATGTGGGGGTCCTGGATCATTTTCATCAGCAGCTGCGGCAGCAGCACTTGAGAACTGAAGAGAAATGTACATTCTCGAGCTCCCTGCCAGGATCCCTACTGGATCAGAACCTGGGGCTGAGACCCAATGATCTGTGTTCATCAAGGGCTGTAGGTGATTCAGATACACACCCAACTCATGTTTAAAACCAATATCACGGGCCCCGGATGAAGTCTACGGAAGCTCTGAGAAAAAAGAATCCAGGAAAGCAGAAGGCATGGCGTTTGCACCACCCTCTGGAAGCTTCAAAGGTGGGATGAGCACTGGCCTGGAGAAGCTTGTGTAGTCTGCTGAAGGGCAGTCTACCTCTCCGGTCTCACCTTACCCCTCACTCCTATTTTCCAGGGCAAGACCACCTTTCAGTCCTTCCTATTTGCTACCTTCCTTCCCACCACGGGCTTTTGTACATGCTGTTCCTCTGCCTGAAACATCACCTTTCATTCTACCCATCAGATCTCAGCTTAAACTGACTGACCCAGCTAGGGCTGGATCTCTTAATGGTCTGTCCACCAACACTGTGTATGGAGCATTTGAAGAAATGTTACATTAATTTCTCTTTTAAAAATGTTAATAGTTGCCTCCCCTGGTAGAATCTAAGCTCGAGGGAGCTGACTTTTCTCATCTCTGCATCACCACCAGTAACAGGCACGGTCCCTGGCACACAGTAGGTGCTCAACAGCTTTCTATAGAAGGAATGAGCCAAGAGAGAACATATTTTGGTTCCTTCTGAGCCCTCATGATTTTCAGGGGGACCGTTTAGAACAGCACTAATGTAGGTTTTCTGGGGGAAGAAGGCTTGGTGGAAGTGGGGGTTGGGATCCTTGGGGGTGGTCCTTGAAAGCAAAGGCAACCAGGAGACATGAGCAGAAAAGTAGACTAGAAAAACTTCCGATAGGGAAGGCTGAGGACCCAGGGAGTCTAGGAATGAGCCCCCGGATGCTGTGGTCTCAGGAGCAGAGTGAGCCCAGGTATGAAGATGACCAGGGCGGAGGCTAGGTCTGAACAGTAGGGGCCGGGGGAGGAGCCCCAAGCCTGGACAGGAAGATTTGTAGCACAGAACTGCCCCAGCGGAGGTCCTGTCTGGGTGTTTGTCTGCCCTCTGAGCAGCTGCAGGAGGGAGCCACCAGGAACACATGTGAAACAGGTTGGGAGTATCTCAGATGCATCTGTCTGGCTGGGTTTCTCTGGCAGGTGCCTGTCTGCCTGTCTGTTCCAAGGATGGCAGGGGCTGCCGACCGTGGGGAGACAGTTTATGGAGTTTGGAGCCAAAAGTTCAGGCTGCCCAGGGTGGACAGGAAGATCCCTCTACATAGGAAGGCCTTATTTATGTCACTTGCTGGCCATCACCCCCCACCCAGGGCTCCCCACTTCCCCAGCTTCAGAGACATTTCTCTGTTCAGCACCCCTCCCAGACTCCCACCTACCTTTTTCCCTTTCTTGACTTCATATTCCATGGCGAAGTGTCCCCTCCACTTCTGCCACACTCCTGGTCACCCCTCCACCCTCTCCCCCCACAATTCCTTTGTTCTTTTTCCTGCCTGGTAGGAAACTCCACCAGCCCCGAGTTCCTGCCCCTCCCATCTGATAGTGAGCAGAGGAGGGGAGTGTGTATGTGTGTGGTGGTTGTGGTGGGGGTGGGGGGGCAGTGGTGGTGAGACACAGCCTTGGGATCCTCCAGCTGAAGAGTGGACGCCCAATCAGAAGGCATGCTGTACAGGGACTTGGGGTTTGAATAAGGCCAGGGAAGAGTTTTTCAAACTTGGAGTCAGAAAATCCCAAATTCCACCCCTACTTCTGCCACTGACCTTGCTTCATGACCTTGGCAAAGCAAATCATTTCCCCCTTTCACAGCCTCAGTTTCCCTTTGTAACTTGGGAGTAAAAAATGACTCCCTGTCTGGGCTGCTGTGGTGAGAAATAAATGAAAGAGTGGGTGGTCGAATGTTTCATAAATTACAGAGCACTGTGGTCGAGAAATTCACAGTTTTATAAAGTAACCATTACTGTGGAGATTCCTCTCTAACATTAAGAGTCAGTTAGAACTGAATTAGAATTCTGGCTTTGCCACTTACTAGATTTATGGCCTTAGTCAAGTCTCTTGACTACTTGTGCCTCTGTTCCCCATCTGTAACATGGGCATAATACCAGTGTGACCTCATAGTGACTTTGTAAGGATTCAATGATTTTGGAAGAGCTTCTAGCATGTTGAAAGTGCTCAGTAAATATGAACTATTTACCTGTTGGGGTTCTAATGAGTGGAGTCCTTGGGCTACCTCTAAGAAAAGTTTCATCAGAGTTTCCCCTTCAGGGGCATACGGTGAGTTTGCCAAGGAGACAAAGACATTTGCACAGACACAGACACATGCAGGTTATATCCAAAAAGGGTAGGTTTATTAGAAAAAATGGAAAGGGGAAGGTGTTTGCACAGACACGAGCAGGCAGAAAGAGCTTAATTTGAAAAGAACAGGTTTGTTAATAGAGACGCCAGCATAGCCCATGGGCGGGCAGTCTTGGGTTGCGGGCTGCGTTTAGCCAGGGTAGGAGTTGATTTGATCTAGTGTTCCATGTTGGGGGAGGGGTTCATTCCTTTGTGGAATTGTTAAAACATTCTCTTCTAGGTTGTGATTGAGTTAATTTATTGAATTATTGATTCTCTATAATGTCCTCAGTCTCCATATCCCCACCTCTGGTGCGCACCTCTGGATATTTTCTGTAGCAGTCCTTAGTAATAACTGACAATCCCCCTACTCCCATTTCTGGGCCACACCTAAGGATTTTTTCATTTCTATACCTGGTTTAGGAACAATATTAACTATTTCTACCCCCGTCTTCAGCTTCTGGTCTTGTGACACCTCTGTCCCAAATTTCCTACTCTAAGCCTCCATCAGCTCCTACACGTGTCTAGGTCCTGGGATGTTAGTCTCTTGGGAGGATGTTAGGGAGGTGAGGCTCCCTTTGTGGTTCTGCGCCGACCCTTGATGTATTTCATCTCACTGTTCTCATAACGTTGGGGGTGTCACGATTATACCTACTACATAGACTTCTAAGAACAACTGCAGAGGTTACACAGTGAGTAAAGAGGAGGCCCTGGGTCTTCTGACGGTCTGGATCTGAAGGATCCTGAAAGCTGTTGCTGGGGACCAATGCACTCTGCACGCCCCACCCAGGACAGGGCAAAGTTCTGGCTGACCCGTCCGCACCCTGCCTAGACACCTGGGTTCTGGAGACCCACGTCCTGGAACCGATTTGCTGCGCGGCTCCAGGCAGGCTGTTAGTTATAACCTGTCTGTGTCTCCTCTCTCTCACCTTTCCAGTGGAAACAGTAATTCCAAAAGCTCTGCCTGCACTGGGAGGTATGGCAAGAAAGACATCAGACTGTGAATGAGAAGGCAGTTCTAAATCATGCCATGCAGGGACCCATGCAGGGGATTGTTTTGAAAGTTCTTTCTGAAAGTATGGGTGTGCCAGGTCAGTGCCCTTTGGCATAAAGAACAGAGTTCCCCACTGCGTAAGGGCCCAAGGAGACCCCACCACCAGCCTCCTCTCTTTCCTCCCTCCCTCAGAGGGAGGGCAAATAGCCCAGGCTCTTTAGTGCTAGCTCACACAGCCACTCCCTCCTGCTCTCCCACATCCTGCCAGCCGCCTCCCAACAGCAGGAAGTAGGATCTCCATGAGCCCACAGCCACAGAAGAAGCCAGGATGTGCAGTCAATCTCCGACTGCTCCGGAAGTCTAACTGCTGCCTAACCCCTGCTCTCAAAGACTTAACAGTTGTAGCAAATAGGATTTGTCTCTTTTGAGTCACCTCCAGTTGATTGGCAGGGGCACCCTGGAGCTCTGTGTAGAGGATTATAAATACAGGACCTTCTACCAGCATGAAAAATGGATTGACAATGAACGCCTGCCAAGGGACAGGAGGAATGTGGCAGCCAGTGTACAGTGCACATGCCAAGCCTGACCTGGGTAGAAAGACATATAGACAAAGAACTCTGCTAGAAGGCAAGCGGCTTATTTGGGGAAGGGAGTCAAGAGCCATTCACCAAGCCCGTGGCTGCAAACCAAGTCTGCTAAAGGAAAGGAAGGTCACTTGGGGCAGAGGAAACAGCAGAGACATAGTACCTCAGCTGTAATATTTTGGCCCCAAAGAATAGACTACCTGGCCAAAGGTGCCTTAGATAGTGAGGACAGTTTATTCTTTCTCTGGACAAGAAGTCTAAGGGTAAATGATTTCAGGGCTGATTACTTGAGCAGCTCAAGAATGGCAAGTTCTTTCCATTAACCATTTTGCTGGTACTATAGACTGATATGTGCCCCCTCTCCCGAGGCCCTCCCCCCCCCCCAATTTATATGTTGAAGTCCTGGCATCTAGTACTTTGGGATGGGACTGGCTTTGGAGACAAAGCCTTTATATTTCTTTTTTTTTTTTTAATTTTTTTTTTAAAGAGGCACGTATTTTATTTATTTATTTGTTTGTTTGTTTGTTTATACAAGCACTGGGTACAGTCAGAAACGCGGGAGGGTGAGAGAATTCACCAGAGCCAGAGCAGGGAGCAGAGCAGGCAGAAGGACCGAAGTACACTGCTGAGGGGAGCAGCGGGCGGCAGGAGAGGTCTGCGCGCCATGTGGGACCCTCCTCTGGTGGCCGGGGAGCAGCCGGGGATCGAACCTGCGCCGCAGAGGCCGCGGGCAGCTTCGCAACCCAGCGCTCAACCGCTGCGCCACAAAGCCTTTAAAGAGGTGATTAAATTAAAATGAAGCCCTAGGTGAGCTCTGATCTAATTTGACTGGTGTGTTTACAAGTCACCATTATTTGGAACATTGTTACAGCCAAAATCTATACTGGCTGATACATCAGGACCTGGATTCCTGGAGGAAGTCTTCTCAAGATTCCCTGGGAAAGGTTTTCCTTCATGACACACACACACACAGGATAGATAATCTCAAAAGCATGATAATCGTATGTGGCCACCAAGTCTGTGTTACTCCTGGAGTCATCTTGCAGCTGTATTGGGTTGCTAGGGCTGCTATAACAAAGCATCAAAGACTGGGTGACTTAAATTTATGGTTGCACATGGAGGCTAGAAGTTCAAGATCGAGACATGAAAGGATAGTGAGAAAGGGGTTCAGGTGGCAACCAGGAGAGGTTCACAAAACAGGCAGATGCATGTTTGGAGAGGCTTGGAAGGGCAGGGCAACGTTGGAGATGACACTGTCGGGGTATTTCAGGCTCAGGCTGTGAATAGTCAGCATCAAGCAAAAGGGTTTGATTTTTATCCTGAAGGCCCTGGGGAGCCATGGGAGGTTCTAAAAGTCATGAAATATCATGCTCAGATTTGTGGGAGATTCCTTAAAGTGGGTCTTCCTTAGACCCTTTGCACCATAAACTAGAGCTTTTAAAATCCAGATTCCCAGGTACACTCTAACCACTGTCTGGAGATGGAAATATATATTTAAGCAAGCCCTGTCTACCCCCAAGTGATTCTGAAACACTGAAGTTTGAGATCCTGGAAGCAGGGAGACCTTTTAAGGACAATACCCTCTAGAATGAAAATTCCTTGAAGGCAGGAACCATGCCTATTTTATATCTTCCTGTTCACTGTGCCTAGGATACACGGCACATAGTAGGTACTCAATAAATATTTGTTTTACTGGAGTTAGGCACTTCAGCCTGGGTCCTCATTTTGTTATGGGGTCACTCTCTGACCTCTGGCAAGTCAGCTTCTACCCCCAGTCCTTTTTTTTTTTTTCTTGTCTATAAAGTGAAGAATATGGAGATAATACCTAAAACCTTTGAGATTCTGGCTTAGTGATGGAGGAGCTGTGTGTGACATCCAGTTCTCTCCCCACAAAATGCCTTTGGCTCCTTCAAGCCCTGGTGGCAGTGAGGATCCTCCCTCCGGTTCCCAGCTTCAACTGCCCAGAACAGCCAAAACGATAGGACACAAGCAGCACGTACTGAAATGACTTTTAATATCTCATGTTGCAGCAAAATTAAAAATATACAAAAAGTCTGTGGTGTACAAAAGAGTCTCAGTACAGAAGCCCCAGCTTAGGGGTCCCCTCCCCCTCCTGGGGGAAGCACGGAGTGAGTGGGGGGTGGGGGGACTGAGGATGGCACAGATGTAGTAAATACCAGGGGGTGGGACTGGGGATTGGAAACGGAAATGAGCAAAGGTGGGGGCTGATTATGGAGAGAAGAACCCCATGAGAGAATCACCCAGAATTGTGCTGAGGGAGAGAAATCAGCCCTCGGGCATGGCTAGTGGTTCCTGCAGGCAGGAGAAAAAGGAGGGGGGACATCAGGACTAGGGGTGTTATGGCGGGATCCCAAAGAACCTGAGTCCTGATCCCACCCTGCCACCAACTTGCTGTGAGTCTTTGAGCTGGTCACTCCCTTTAGTAAAACAGAACACTGGATGATTAAATCTCCTATTCCCACCTTGGGGTCCCAGATCCTAAGGGCCTGGGAGGCAAGAATGGGGCCCTACAAGAGCTCTTGAGAACTGTGTATTGAATACTCTAAAAGAATAGAGATAGTCCCAGACCCTCAGGCCCTAGAAGTTAACTTGAGGCCTTGGCTGCCTTTATCTGCAATTAGAAGCTCAGCTTGAGCTAATTTAATGTGGATAAATTAATTATTTCTCAAGAAGTGAGGCTTGGGGGGAGACAAATCTCCCCAACTATAGGGTCCTAGGGTGAAAATAATGAGGGGGTGCTGGGAATCACTGAGATCCCGTCCAGCTATTATGGGCTGTGTTTATATGACCCCCCCCCCCCAAGTTTGGCTATTTAGTCTATGGAGACATGCCTGGTTTGGATTCTGGGATTTGGGGGTGGGGGTGGGGGAATATCCTTTTCCTTTCTGGTGCTATTCTCATCCATTTTTTATCTTAGGCTACCTTCCACTCGGGGATTATTGCAGGTATCTCTGGTCTCACCCCTTCAGCCTGGCCTGGGGATGCCCTTACAACCTTAGTGCATAGAGTAAAAGCCAGGATTGCTAAAGACAGGGCAACCCCCCCCCCCATCCTGCTGAGAGGGGAAGGGTGGTGGAGATCAGGCACTAGAGGACCCTCCCTTTACCCTGGGAAGTTTTCTGCCTCCAGGAACCAAGCCAGCCCTGGACCTTCTCCCATCCCAGGATTTCCTTGCCTGCCTCACCTCCCTCTACCTGCAGTAACCATGACTGCAAGAATGTCCTATCCCCTCCCCAGCCAGAATGGCACTTACAATACCCTCTCCCTCAGGGTGAGGGTCTCAGAAGCCCCCTGACAAGGAAGGGGGTGCCTTAGGTCACATCCCCACTGCTGCCCATGTGACTTGGGACTCACTCAGTCCCTCTCATTGAGATATCACCAAGAACCTCAGTACAGAATTTGATAACCACCCCCGCCCCTTGTCCTCAGCCAGATCTGGGAGACAGGTGCCAAAGGGTGGCAGGGGCCCGCACAGGATGGGAGCCAGTGGGCTCTTCGCTCACACCCAGTGCAGATTCCTCCTAACCAGGGGCCACCAAACTAGAGAAAACCATAGTCCCTAGCACTGGAAGGGCCTGTAGCCCTGAACGGATGATGGTTCCCAAAGCAGGAACCCTGGGAGTTCCAGACTTTCTTCCCCTTTTCAGATGGGAGGGTGGTGGAGTCAGCTCTCAGGCCAAGCAGTGCGAGTTTAGGGTTGAACTAGAAAAGTCTCAGAGGGAGCTGGGACCTTTGTCCTTGACTTCCCTAGAGGGGTTTCCAGACTCCGCAGGGCTTTCCAGAACTTTCTCAACATTCTGAACCAGTGGTTTCAAACTGGTGGCCTATGGACCATATATGAATGCAGTTGGGTCAGCACAGGGTTTTTTAAAAGTCTGAATATTAGTGCCTGTTGATGGGGCATGTGCTTTCCTGTTTGTCAGAGTCCCCACCACTCCCTATTGCTGGCACCTCCACTTCTCTCATTTATCTGAAGGCATTTGAATTAGCAACCCATGCACCCCAGCCCCAGGAAACCTCCCCTTTGCCTGAGGTTTCCATGAACTTAAAGCCCAGCCAAGCTCCAGGAGTAGGCCCAGTCGGACATCAGTCCCTAGGAGGGCACTGGTGCTGCCAGACAGACATCCCCGGACACCGACACTCCCAGCTCCCTTAGCCCTCACTCTGAGACCTGGACAGTCCCCAGGCCTTGCCTTCTCTGCCTCCACTTCCCCCACCTCTCCTTGATGACTCTTCTCTGTGGGATATAGTTAGAGCAGGGTGCTGGCGGGGGGGGGGTAAGGCGGATTTGGGGGAAGTAAGGATGAGGCAGATTGGTGGAAGGGACCAAGAGAATCTTCCTTATTGGGGAACCCCCTGCTGGGGAGGGGTGGAGGTCTGTGCTGTCCAACCGGGGTGGGGTGACAGTTACAAGGCACGTGGTACATCAGTGCATGGAGGTGTGAAGAGGGGTGTGTGGTGCCTGGAGAGGACTGGGGAGCACAGTCAGCAGCCTGGGGCATATTCAAAAAAAACTGGGAGACAGAAGCCTGCCATAGGAATGGGGCCACAGGTTTCCTGGGGGTAGAGATACTGAGGGCAGGGCAAGGCCTGGCATATTTGATACTCAGAGTGTCCTGTTCTCTCTGTTCCTAGAAAACTGAAGACAGACCCAACTAGCTCTCAGCCCCTGGAAAACACTAGCTCTGCCACTGACTTCCTCTATGATCTTGGGCAGGACCTGGCCTCTCTGGGCCTCCATTTCTGCTCTAGTGGTTCCTGCATGCAGGAGAAAAAGAAGGGGGGATATCAGGACTAGGGGTGATGTGGCAGGATCCCAAAGAGCCTGGGTCCTGGATAGGAATGGCAAGGGGCGCCTCTCGACTGTGATTCTGGAATCTGCCCTCACTGCAAGGACCCTGTAGGGATATTAGGAAGGACTGAGAAGCTAAACTGGGGTGGGGGACAGGGAATGAGGAGCAGGAGGCAGGGACCCAGGGGATCCAATTCTGGCAGGAAAAGAGACACTGACTGAGGTAGATTGTGTCACAGAAAAGAAAATGAAACGACAGCTCAATTGGGCTGACTCCTTTGCCCCAGAGGAATCAGGGAGACTGGCGGGGACCTCAGGACTGGGAGGAAAGGGTCCTGAGCTCCTGCAGGGAGGGGAGTTCTCAAGGGGCTAAGCTCTTTCCTGAGGGTGAGAAGCAGAAGGTGCCCGCCGGCTTCTCCTCCAGCCCTTTGACCGTGACCATTTCTGATGCTCAGATGCCCTTGCAGGCAGAAGCCCAGAGGGAATGATGTGGGGGCTGTGGTGGAGTGGGACCCACAATAGCCTCCGGTCACATCAGCACTGCCAGCTTGTTCTCATTCTCTGAGCCCCTGGGCCGCACCTGGAATCCCCCGCAAGGACTCTTGGCTCCCAGGGAAGGTATAACTTTTCCTTCTAGGATGCTGGAGGAGGGGGCAGCTGGACGGGGCCAGGAACCTGGGAGTAACATAACCTGCCAAGGGTGACCCTCAGATCCTCTCTGAGCCTCGGTTTCCTCCTAAGATGGTAACCCCTCTCTTGTAGGGGTGCTGCAAGACAGGAATTTATGTGAAACAACACAGGGGGAAATCTGGCAGAGTCAGCTCAGGAGGAACAGCCAGCTGGGTCTGGGCTCACATCCTCAGTGCTCCCAGATCACAGAGGGTTCTGACGCGTGGAAGCAGCCTTGGAACGGGGTCTCTGAAGACAGATTTGGGCTGAGGACAAGAAGCTAGACCCCACCCGAGAGGGTCCGGGTCAGCTTTGGGCTCCCCCCAGTGCCCATAACTCTTGAGGTCGGGTTCCTGAGGCTTCTTAGGGATGGGGTGCTAGAAGAAAGTGTGCTCTGTGCCCTGGTGAGAGGGATACACACCATCGTGACCTGTGTGGGTGTCTGTGGAGTGACCCGTGGTGCTAGGGGAGTGCAGTGACTTGTGTCACGGGTGTGATGTGTGCTTGTGCATGTGTGTGTGTGCATGTAGGCAGTCCTGCCTTCCCTGCCTTTGGGATCACCCTGCACCCTGAGTGTAGTCCTCTCCTTGCATCCTCAGTCAATTCACCATCACCCACCACTATATGATGGACAGCCAGGAGCCTGGGAGCTTGTGAGACCAGCTGCCACTCTGGGCCTCAGTTTCCCATCTGTACCCCAAGGAAGGCTGAACCAGAGAGGGCCGAATGCCTCTCAAATTTGCATAGTCTAGGATTCTCATGGTGCAGCTCACCTCCCAGACCAGGTTTTCGTCTTCCTTAACATTGCCTGCTGTGCCCTTGCGGTGAACACAGGGCTGGCAATGGGCGTGGGATGTGGGCAGGGTGTTCCAGACTCAGCCTCGAGGCTCTGTCCCCTCATCCCACAGAGCTGCTTACTTCTCTACTCCTGCACTCCCCTGTCCTATCCAGAACTAGCTGTCCTAGGTGGAGAGGAGGGGTCCTGGGTATATGGTCCCAGGGGCATGCTGGGATGTTGGGGCCATGGGAATGGACCATAGGTCCTAGAGGGTTGTCAGAGCCGAGGCAAAACAAGTCAGCCTTCCAGCTGCCGCTCCAGGGAGCCACATCTGCAGGGGGGCTGAGGGCTAAGTTCATGTCATATCCCCAGAGCTAACTTTTTTTCCAGCTGGAAACCAGCTGGCAGTTGAAATATCTCAGAGGTTCTCAGAACAACATCTTCTTGGGAAGATGGCTATGAACCAAAGTGGACTGGGGTGTAGAATTCCTTATAAGCCCCAGAAGTCTAGAACTAGAGTACCCACCCCAAGAATCTTTACTCATACTGCTCTAAAGCCCCCTCCTCGATCACCATGGCAGGAACTAGAATCCTGCACAGCAGAGCAGCAGGGCACCAACACCCTCACATAACAGACTCTAGATCAGAGTGACACCTAGGACATTTTCCCAGATGTGTTCTAGAACTTAATCCAGGACGAAGTGTCTCTAGACCATTCCTCTGTTAACTGTGCTAGAGTCTCATCTACAATAGACCCCTAGACATTTTATCTGTTGTGTTCAACACATTTATCTAGAAGAAATGTCCCAGATGTGCATCCGGAACAAAGAAAGGCTCCTCAAAACACTTCACCTGAGGTATCCGGAACCTCATCCATAACAGAGCCCACAATAAAGGGTGTCTCCTGAGGAGGTCACTTGTAGAACATTCTCTGTGCTCTGAATCGAAGGTTCCTGCCCCCAAGTCTGCTACTCCTTCATGCTGCTCCCAGCCTGGACCCCTCAGATGTCTCAGGGTTCTTCCTCCTGTTCATCTCCAGTACTGCCAGCCCCCACCCTTAACTCCCCACCCCACCCCATCCCAACTCCCTCCTTTGATTCCCCTCTTGTCCAGCTCCAGACCTTGTACCCCACAGGAACTGTACCAACCTTGTCCACCAGAGTCTGCAACCTCACTCCACATTGTCCACAACCTTCTCCATCCTTCTCAGAGGTCTCCTCCCACCACAGGAGCACCACCCCATACCGCCTGAGGAGCACAGAGCCTACGTCATGAGCCCTGACAATGCCCTTTCTCTGGCAAGTCCACCAGGGATGCCGTGTGGGCTATGCCAGGTAAGGGTGAGGGTGTGGGGCTTCCCGGCACCAGACATGGTAGGGAGAGGCCTCCATGAAGGTGGGGCAGCTCACGAGGAGCATAGCACCAGTTGATTCCCTGGGCCCTGGTTCAGGGGAGTTTAGGAAATGGGCCACAGGGTTGCCAACAGGGCCTAGGGCTGGGGCCTCCACAAGGCTGCCTCCCCAGAAACAACCCAATGTTGGGGCCACTCTACCCTTGGACCAACAGATCCATTTCCCTTAGCCTGGTGGCCCTGAAATTCTGGGCTCAACACTGGTTGATGTGGGATCAGCCAAGCCAGTCCCTTTTGAGGGGGCGACTGTGGCCTACACTGTGGTCTCATACTCCAGCAGCTCTTGGGAGGTCCCCACGCTCCGGTACTGCAACCGGGGTGTAGTGGGTGAGGAATACTCCAGCGCCAGAATGGTCTTCCGAAGACGCCGGTCAATAAAATGAGCATCCCACGCAGGGTACTTCTTACGAGGCAGGTCAATTCGAATGACAGGCCCTTCTGTCCGCAGGGTGCGGGCCACTGGTGTGGGAGGCAAGCCTGGCCGCACCTGGAAGACAGGTGGTGTGGGGGTCCCTGCACGCTCAGCCCCCACAGAGGCCCCATCCCGCTCAGCGCCTGTAGTCCTCGGCAGGGACCTCGGGGGACTTGTGACAGGCTCAAATGGTGGGCCACAGGGCTCTGGAGCCTCAGGGCAGATGCAGCCAGGCGCCTGGGGACCCAGCATGGGCCCGTTGGGGTGCAGGAGGCAGTAGTAGACACACATGAAGAATATGCCCAGTGCGAAACTGGAGGCCACCACGCAGACCAGGATGAGCGAGCCGAAGTCGGTGGAGAAGTTGCGGCTGGAGTACCAGAAGCCCGTGAGCGCGGCGTTCTCCACCAGGACGATGCAGTAGTAGAGGGTCATGCGGCGGCGGCTGCGGCCCTCCTTGACGTTGAACCAGCAGAAGATGTAGATGATGCCCACCACCATGTTGTAGATGATCTCTTCCCACTTGGACATGCAGAAGTCCGTCTCACCCTGGATGACCCAGAAGGTCATGACGCACCAGTGAGCCACGATGAAGATGCCGAAGTAGAGCTTGTAGACGCTGGCGAAGAGCGCAAAGGCCAGGCTGCGGGCGGCGATGGTGAACAGGTGCCACAGCACTTGGGCCACAGCGCCCTTGTAGGACAGGGGCCGCTTGTCATCCCGCGAGTCCCGTAGCACCTTCTGGTAGGAGGCCAGCGTCCAGGCCAGGGACAGGAGTGAGGCGGAGGTGGAGAGGGCTGTGGAGACAGGGTGGGGGCGGGGCAGGCTGGGTTAGGGGTGGGTCTGGGTTGGGGTCTGGGGAGAGGGGGAGGGTTCTGGGTCAGGAGCTGGGTTCTGAGGAGGAGTGAAGGGTATAAAAACCAGGAGGGGGGAGGGAAGGGGGACACTCTGGGTGGGTGGTCTTTAAGAGCAAGGAGGGAGCGATGGTGAGGGAGGTCGGAGTTGGGTTCTTCTCCAGGGAGGGTGCGCAAAGGGGGATGGAAGGTGGGTGAGCTGGGTCTCCGTAAGGCTTAGGTCCAGGTCTGTAGTATGGGGCACTAGGGCTCAGGAGTCTTGGTGGCAGGATGGGAAATTAGGGTCCAGTTCTCTGGGAGTGAAAGGAGGTGAAGAGGGAGGTCATGAGTAGGGTGTGGAGGGGCCCGGTGGGGATTATTAGAAGCTACAGGCCACCAGGATGAGGCTCGGGGGTGGAGAGGGTTATCCCAGCTGAGCAAAGCTGAGGGGATGGATGGGAAGAAAACCCAGGGTGGGGGGGAGTTTCAGCTGGGGCTCAGTATCCTGGGCAAGAGATCCCCAGGGGGTCTGAGAGCAAGTGAGAGACTCTTTGGGGACTTGGAGGGTGGGGTGTTGGGCAGTGTCTGGGCAGGGGGAGCATGGGGAGCTCCAGAGAGAGGTTGGGGTTGTGGCCCAACCGCACTGAGGGGTTGGTCTGGCTTACTGGGCTGAGGGAAGGGGTCGGGTGGGTGGGCAGGGCCTGCTGGAGGTGGGTACATGGTGACCAGGACTAGGTCCTGGAAGAGTGTGGTGGGGGAAGAGGAAGTGACAGGAAGTGAGGGGGAGAGTGATCCTCTGGAAACTGATGGTAACTGGGCAGGTCTATGAGGCAGGGGGTCCCCAAGAGATGACAGGCTGAAATTAGGGAGCTTTGGGGAATGAAATGGACAAGGGACACCCCAGAGGGTCTGAGGTGTGATGATGGGGTCAAGGGTCTCTTTGCTTTAAACTTTTATTTATTTTGTCTAGGGCCTCTTTGAATTCGGCAGGAATGGGGTCTGGTCTGCTCTGGCACTGGCGGGATGGGAGAGGCGCCCAAGGAAGCCCTGAGAGGAGAGGGGCTGGAGGGGGCAGGTCTCACCTAACACAGACAGCAAAAGTGCCATTGGGGCGAATGCAAGGGTGGAGGGTGGTGAGACAGAAGGGGTGGGCCTCCTCAATCTTCACAGCGGGGGAGGGGGGCACTGGGGGCCTGGGGGCGGGTGGGTGGCCAAGGTGAGTGGCCAAGAGGGGCTGTCCAAGTACAGAAGCAGAGAGGGCCCAGGTGGGGGCAGGGGCACAAGGCATAACGGAGCCCTGGGGCCGGGTGCGGCGGGAGGAACGGAATCGGGGCGCGCGGCTCACCCGGCAGCAGGTCGGGTTCGCGGCCTCGGTGCACCAGGAGGCTGAGCTGCAGCACCAGCTGCGGCGCGCTGCGCAGGAAGGTCTCCAGCAGGCGCAGCATGCTCACGTCGGCGCTCTCGAACAGCATCCGCCAGTAGAAGTGGCGCCGCAGACGCTCCCCACGCCAGCGGCTCTGCAGCCCCAGGTACAAGGCGCGCAGGTACCTGCAGGAAGCACTTAGCGCTCAGGCTCCCAGCGCGCAGCTGCCCCGCGCCCACTGCCAACCCGCGCCCCCCCACCCCACCCCCCACCCCCCACCCCGGGCATCCTGCAAACAAACGCGAGGGGCAAGAGCAGTGTGCAGTCGCTCACCGCGCTGAGCTTGTTTCCTCCGCCATAAAATGAGCACAGAGAAAGGATCACCTCACTAAGGTGAACTCCAGGTGGGCTCCTTACCTAAAGCGCCGGCTCGGGGAGGCAGCGATACCGCGCGAGCGTCAGCATTGCTGTGGCAGACTTTCTTTGCAGGCTTCCAGGCACCTTACAGTGCCCTGAACTGACACCAGCTCTATTTCTACCGCCATTCTATAGAGTAAATCTCACCTATGAGACCCAGAGCGGCATGTTGCTGTCCAAGATCACACAGCTAGGAATCAGGGGAACCGGCTTGCAAAACTAAGCAGACTGGTCTCAGGGGCCACACTAACCATTCGCAACTCTACCTCTCATTGTAAGCCACACAAAGTTCAGCCACACATAGATTCTTTCAGGACAGCCTCTGATGTCAACCCCCAGTTCTGTTGCCAGAAGCTTCCTGGCCTGTTCCCTACCTCTCAGGGGTCAGCGCTGCTCACAGGGCACAGGGGAGCTACTCATAGACACATTGAGGACTTGGCTGCTTCCTTTTGGACACTTCTCCCAACAAACGTGATAGCTACAGCTGCTCTGCACAGATTCCAGCTCGCAATGATCCCCCTCACCCCTGAGCTGAGGCACCTGCTGTTCCCTCTGCCTGGAATGTCCTGTCTTGCCTCAAACCTGGGTAACTCTTGCTTTTCTTCCAAGGCTCAGCTTTTAAACATGCCTTCTTCCAGGAAGCCTCCTTCGGGGAAGGTGCTCCACCTGGGGTAGGGGCCTCTCCCAGGCTTCCCTCTGACCCCGCCCTTGTCACTGTGCATTGAAACCGCCTAGTATGCAACCACCTCCCCAGGCCGTGGCCATCAAGGATGACCAGGTCAGCTTGCTAACCACGATACCTTCAGTTCTTAGCACAAGGTAGTTGCTCAGTGCATACTGGCTGAATGAATGAAAGTATGCAAGATAGCAAGTTTGTTTCATTGAATGGAACACTGACAGTCTTATAGTAAGGGATATGGAAGGGGTTCTGAAGTCCTGAGTCCTGTTTCTACTTGACTGAGTAATCTTGAGGGGGATCCTCTCTGAGCCCTAGTTAATTGCTCCCAATCACTGGTTCATGGAGCATGCATGCTCTTTGCAGATTCAGTGACCCTATTGTCTGATTCTAAAATTGGGGAGCCAAGGGTCTGGTAGACTATTCCCAAGTGTGGCAAGTGGGCATTTCCAGGACTTTGTTGGGAACCAGGGGACCAATTATATTTATCTGTGTGTGGACCCCTTAAGGGAGGAACCATGGTGTCCTGGCATTTGGGATCAGTTGAACCCAGAGTTTCCCTAAATGAGTGTCCTGGTCCTAGCAATGGTGCGGTCTCTGGGTCTCAGTTACTCCATCTGCTAACAAGAGGGATGAGCTTGAAGACTCTGGAGATCTTTTCAGGGCTAATGTTCTGGGTTTCAAACTCTTCCCCCCCAAAATATAGTGGGAAATGTCCCATTTAGGGCTCTCCTCCCCATCCTGGGTCTCCGTGGTACCAACTGCTCATATAGACACATCCTCACCAGGACACAGGATGGGACTGTGCGCTCAGGATGAGAACCAAGACTTTTCCCTCAGAAACTGACTCAAGAAATGCAAAGATGCTCAGTCTCACGCTCCCATCCAATGCTGGAATTCCTTCAGCAATTCCCAGCGTGTGTTTCTACCCTCTTCTCACTAACATCCTGAGATAGGGAGTCTCTACCTCCTAAGGCAGGTAAAGGCTCTTTGGCTTCTAACCATCTCCAGGGCTGTTTATGTTTCTTTGGATGAGCAGAAATTTGTCTCCCTACAGCTTTCATTCTCTGGGCCTCTATCTACCCCGCTCCCTACATAAGGATCTCTGCAGCCAAAATCATTTACCCACATAGCAAGCACATTGTGACCACTTGTTACGTGTCAAGTTCTGTGCTCTAAGCCCCAGTCCATGAGAGAGACAAGAGCTGAAATAGAAGTTCTTAGATGGAATGGAGCCCAGAGATGAGATGGGTAACTTCAGTTAAGGGGGGGGCGGTGCGCTCAGGGAAAACTTCCTGCAGGAAGAAACATTTGATCTCAATTTTAAAGCATGGGTGTGTTTGAAGGTCCACAGGAGGTGAAAGGCATTCCAGGTAGAAGAACCTGCCGAGGGCTAATCAAAGAGATGTGGGAGAACATGGCCATTTAGAAGAATGACCAGAAGTTTGCTGGTCCTAGGTGGGAGGGAGGGTTTTAATGGGCAGGGCTTACAAAGACTAGAATTGTGAAGGGCATTAAATTCAAGATGAAAGTGTTCATATTTTATTCCAAATCTGAATTCTATCCCAGAATCAGGGGTGATGTGATCAGCTGGGTGGCTTAGAAAGCACACTCTGGAGGCTGGCTTGGAAGAAAGCCAGGAGAGGTTGGGGTTTGGTCCAGGCCTGAAATGACAGAATTGAGCTAAGGCAGGCACAGAGGAGGGACAGAAGCAGAGCTGGAGATGACCAGAAGTGGGGGGGGCTAGGGGAGAGTCCAAGATGACCCCCAGAGCTTCTGGGGGGCCAGCCCAACCCCATTCCCTCTGCTCTGGCTTTGAACAGGAAGGAGAGACCAGCTGGTCCAACATGAAGGGGCCTGGGGAGTTGGGGGAGGACGACACCCTGGAAGTTTCTCTCAGGCTGGAAGACCATCTGTTTCCCAGCCCAGGTCAGCATGAGGGAGGCCCCAACCTGGCCAGCATCCATCACCATCTGACAGGCGGCCTGCCCACCTCCCCGCCCACTCCTGCCCCTCCTCTGCCAGCTCCCAACGCCCACGCCCCAGTTAGCCACAGACAAAGGGCTCATCCAGCCCAGAGCAGGAAAAAAGGCCTCTGAGTCCCAAAAATGGTGTCAGGGCAGAGTGGAAAGACCACACGACAGACTAGGGGTGAATGGGCCTGGGTTCAGCCTTACTCTGCCTCTTCTGGCAAAAGGACCAAAAATTATGGCTGTTCCTTCCAGCAGGCACTAAACACTTGCTGTCAGGGGCCTGTGAGGTTTTCACAGGCCTAAGAAAACATTTGAGGCCTTGGGAGGGGGGAAATTGGCCCCAAAATGGGGGAAAAAACTGCAGAATCAAAATTAATAAATGTTTAATTAAATGTCTGCAAAACAGAACATGATATCAGCTAGTCAACTGCAATTTGGCTTTTATCTGATTATACATAATTTACATTTGATGTTTGATGTTTCTGCATTTTAATATGCTTGATAGAGGTGGGCCCACCAAGGTAGTAAAACAACCCTGCCCAGGACATGCAGCCTAAATTTCTAGGCCTCAGTTTTACCTTCTCTGAAAAGGGGCCAGCACTCATCAGCCTGCCTGCATCACAGCCCCTGGGGTGAGGGTGAGACAGGCAAGATGTCACTATGTTGGGCTTGTGGATTTGCTTCCTAGCCGTGCCCTGAATGCTGTGTGGCCATGAGGCATCTCTGCCTCTCTGAGCCATGTTTTCCTCCTTGTTGTGAGCACTTGTAAACTTTGGAGGAAAGTGTACATAGACGGGGGAGCCTATGCTGGGTGGAAGGCTCTGACTCTCCCTGATCACCAAGCACCCCCACCTGAAACCTCCTCCAGGGAGCCCGCTCTAATTCATCCTACTTGAAAGGAAGTTGATCTTCTAAAAATGGGAAGGATATTCCACCTATGGGAGAGGAATACAGCCTTGCGTGTGTGTGCGTGCGTGTGCTTCTGCTCTCCTCCGAAATGCACCCCCAGTCTGTTGGTCTGTCTATCCTCTCCACTGCCACCACCCCTGGCGAGGCCACCATCATCTTTTGTGGGCTCCCTGCATCCCCTCTTGCTCCCCTGCAGTCCAGTCTCCACATGGCAACCAGTAGGATATTTTAAAAACCTGTCAGAGCTTGTCATTCCCCTTTTCAAAACCTTCCAAGGGCCTCCCATCACACTTGGAATAAAATCCAAGCCTCTCCCCTTGGCTCACAGGCCCAAACCATCTGGCCCTGCCTGCTTCTCTCACCTCATCTCAAACCACTGCTTCATTTGTTCCCAGCACTCTGGGGGCCCTGGAGGTTCCTCAAATCCAGCCAAACTTGTTTCTGACTCAGGGCCTTTAAACTTGCTACCTGCTCTGCCGGCAGCCCCTTCCCCTGTCCCATCCCAGATCCTCCCGTGACGGGCTCCTTGTCAGCTCCCACGTCACCTTCTCAGAGAGGACCCAGGCCAACCTCCCCGTGTTGGCCCCTCTACCCCCACCAAATCACTGACTCAGTTCCACCTGTCCTCTCCAGGAAGCTTTCCCTGATGTTCCTCAGCCTGGTTGGGCCTGCCCAACACTGACAGCAACTCGTCTTAAAATTCCCGAGGGTGACGAGCGCCAGAACCTAACAGTCAGCTTCCACCAGCCCCGCTCCACAGGGGAGGAAGCAGAGGCTCTCAGTCATCTATTTTGGATCTAATTTGCTGATTCCCAGCTCGTGCTCAGAGAAGAAGCATGTCTGGGAGGAAACTGGAAAAGCAGAGACGTGTATGTTATTGGGGGGGGGGGTGGGGGGGGGGGGGGGGGGCGGGGGGGGGTGGGGGGGGGGAGGGAGTATGGGGCAAAAAAACAAACAAACCCAAAAACAAGCCCGGGGAGGAAAGCAGCCAGAAGTTAGGGTGTGAAATCTCTCCCCTCAAGGGTCCAGAAAGCTGCCCCTTCTGGACCCCACTGGCTCTGCAAGTGAGCAGGGTCAAGAAATGGAAGATTCCCATTCCTTCTCTCCAGACACGCTTGCCTTTATGACCCAGCACCTCCCAGAGTTGGGGGCTCCCCTCTCATGGGCAAAGGAAGGGAAAAAAGATAAGGGGATCCCATGTTCTTGAGAA